AAAACACCAATATGGAAATCAAAGGACAAAGAGGATGACATAGAAAATGGTAAGGGAAAGACCTATAGAATTCCTCAAAAGATTCTTAGGTACTTTCCGATAAAGAAAAGGCTTTAACGACTATTTATGTGTCAAGAGACGGCGAGATACATGACTTGGCATGCGGACGGGCGTGAAATTGATCATCTTTTACATCATCCAGCTGATGGTCAAGCTTGGAGGGAATTTGATTCCTTGTACAAAGAGTTTTCTGATGACCCGCGCAATGTGAGGCTAGGACTAGCCACAGATGGCTTCAGCCCGTTTAACTCAATGAGTATTGTACATAGTACTTGGCCAGTTATGTTGATCAATTACAACTTGCCTCCTTGGATGATTATGAAGCCTGACTATTTGATGTTAGCACTACTAATTCCGGGTCCTTCTTCCCCAAGCAATGACCTTGACATATATTTGCAACCACTAATGAAGGACTTGAAGGATTTGTGGGAGTTCGGACTGGAAACTTATGATGCTTCGAGTAACCAGAGGTTTCACATGCATGTAGCATTGATGACTACCGTGAGTGATTTTCCTGCTTACGCGATGTTATCTGGCTGGAGCACAAAAGGATACTTGGCGTGCCCTAAGTGTCATTATGAATTAGATTCTGAGTAGTTGCCTTATAGTGCTAAGAATGTGTATAGGGCAAATCGTAAATTTCTACCTCCATTTCACCCTTGGCGTTGTGATAAGAGGAATTTTGATGGGAAAGTTGAGGAAAGACAGCAACCTACTCCATTGAATGGAATTGATGTAGCTAATCTTTTGTGTGATTTTCCAAATGAATTTGGAAAGAAGCAAAAGAAACCAAGGCGTGATGTCGATGATCCGAACCCGTGGAAAAAGAGGGTCATTTTTTTCGAGTTACCATATTGGAAGCATTGTCTTAATCGTCACAACCTCGACGTAATGCATATTGAGAAAAATGTGTTTGATAGTGTCATTAGGACATTGTTAGACATTTCTCAAAAGACCAAGGATCATAAGAGTGCTCGTCGAGATTTGGTAGAGCTTAATTTGATGCCGGAGCTTCAACCAAGAGAATTGGAAGATGGTGGCGAAGAATTTCCAAGATCCCGCTTTTGGATGTCATTGGAGCAAAAACATAAGTTCTGCCACGTCTTCAAAAATGCCAAACTTCCTCAAGGCTATGCTTCTAACATTGGTCGATGTGTACAAGTTGGTGAAAGGAAAATTGCAGGCTAAAAAAGCCACGATACACATTTTATGATGAATTATTTGCTCCTAATTGCAGTAAAGACAACATTATCCAAAGATGTTGCTACTCCTTTGATTAAACTTTGTGCTTTTTTTAAAAGTATATGGAGTAAAAAGGTTGATCCTCAACATCTTGAAAAATTGCAATCTGAGTTAGTTGAAACATTATGCCTACTTGAGAGGATTTTTCCACCTGCCTTTTTTGATATAATGGTACATCTACCTCTACACTTGGTGGGCCAAATTAAATTGGGTGGATGGTAGACGTGTCGTGTACCTATCAAAAATAACCTAACAGACCAATACTAATGTAGACTGGCAAGTAAGCGTCGGATCCCAAGAGACTAAGGTTCAGGAACAATTAATTAGACTCACATTTCTACTAAGCAAGAATCAATTATAAACGATAACTAAGGGCCTAAAATATAGGAAAAATTCGAAAATAAACTAATTAAGATGATTAAATCAAGCAATTAAAAACATCCAAGATCTAGCTTCACCACAACTATTATTGATGCAATTGTAATTCTACCCTTAACATACGATTTCAAGTGAACGGGGATAAGTAAACCCTAATAATTACCAAGGATCTCTCTCGAGTATCAATGGCTTCCCTAGCATACAATCAATCCTATTCTCATGGTATCATGCATATTAAAGACATTAAACACATTACTCTCACTTCCCAATTATCAAACCCAACTACTCTCGTGTTGAGAATCAAACCCTAAATTGATTTACTCAAATCCGTTTATACCCAACTCTCGCTGTGATAAAAACAATGGAATAATCGCAATACTATAGTTACGTCTAACCTAGCATTGGCATAATCACAATCATTTTAGCAATTCAATTGTTAAAGTTATTAAAGAATTTAAAGATTTAATTCATGCATCAATAATAATAGGGCTACACTAGATCTTGAATTAAAGAATCTACTCACACATGATTAAAGAAACGAAAACAACAATAAATAATGAAAACATAATTAAATAATAAAGGATGAGAAATAAAAACCAAATCTTGAATAAAATTGAAGGTAGAAACCTTGAATCTTGAATTACAAAACTTAGAAAAGTAGATGGACAACTAGTTCTTCATGAGAGAATAAAAATAATATAAGGCTTAAAAAAAATATCTCCAAGAAAAACAAGGCTAAAAAGTATTTATATGAGCCTAAAAAGATAAGAAAAACGGCTAAGACTTGGCGCACAAGAATCCCAGGAGGCACGGACGTGCCTCTTCATAGGCACGGACGTGCCTCTACACGTAGCAAAATTGCTGCAGTTTCTGTCTTCCAGGCACGGACGTGCCTGATGCTGGGCACGGACGTGCCTGATTCTTTACCTAGGCACGGACGTGCCTCTTCTGCTAGGCACGGACGTGCCTAGGGTGTTCCTTTGGCGCAGCTTCTGGCACAGAGGCACGGACGTGCCTAATAGGGAGGCACGGCCGTGCCTACCTCTAAAATGCCATTTTCTTGACTTTTCCTCAATCTCCAAACTCCATAGGCTTTGACTTACTTCATGGATCTATAATTCATCCAAATTAGCTCCATTATTCCTGAAAATCATCAAAAACAACAAAACTACCCATAAAAGCATCGGATTATCCAAACTAAAGCAAAATACGCCAAAACGGACTCAAATACTCAACTAAACTAACAAAACTTACTAAAAACCAACCAAATAATATACACAAAACACAACTTATCAAACTCCCCCAAGCTAAACTAATGCTTGTCCTCAAGCATTTAACCATGAATCACAAGGGAAGGGAATGATAACTCCTCAAACAATCACAACGTGTCATCGAGTTCAAAACCACGATAAAAACGAAATCAAGAATCAACATGTACAAAAACCGCCATTCATCTCATATACTTAGACTTGACAAACAATCTTACCACACATCTCCCCATACCTACTCGCACAAACATGAATAGTTCTCACTTTAGTTGTGAAAAATAAAAACAATAACGCTCATGTGCTTTCGGGGTGAAATATGAAGCCACTCAACCTAAGCATAGCATGCATATCAACTTCACACAACCGGCCTCTTTAGGCTTGCAATGCAACTTTCTCCACTTTTAGTGATTGATGCAAACACGAAAATCATGAAATCCATATTAGGTAAGCTCGGTAGATAAGGGTTGGACGACGTAATTTGGAATGTGGTGCTCAAAATAAAACAAATCCTAATCCCACTACACATTCAAATGTCGGGTTCAAGCCAACCTTATTTCCTCCAACTTCATACAATATAAACATAGCCCTTTTATTTTTTATTTTTTTTTTATTATTATTTTTTTTTTCACAAAGAGGAGGGAATTAATAAATAAAAACAAATGGAAGAACTCTCAATTTTTCAAAAGCCTTTAAGGCCACTTTTCTTTTCTTTCCCTTTCTAATATCCCCTCTTTCTCTTGTTTTCTTTCTTTTTTTTTTCTTTTTGAAAACTCTCTTTTTTTCGCTTCTTTTTTTTTTTCAACATCATTCACACTCATAGGGCTTAACAAATGTAAAACACCTTCAAAATAAACCTAGAAAAATAGCTCTAAAGCTTTAAATGTAGGGTATCAAGAAGGGGTTAATATTGCTCAAATTGGTTCAACCTACGGGTGAATGTAAAATAAAAATAAATAAAAACAAAAAGAAAAAACATGAAGGCCTAGAATGTGGAGGCTCTAAATTCTACAAGGGAATTTCCATCATCTTTTCGCGACATGCATCATAAAGTCTCAAATAGTCAAAAAGCAAGACCAAGAATTCGATTATATGAAGGACAATCTAATCACACAAGAAGAAACATGACTGAGGTAGGGTGAAATCAGTCAAATAAGGCTCAAGACTCTCACCGGGTACACAAACTATTCACATAAGTAGAGCGGGGAGACCATCCTGGCCACTACCTAGCTCAATTCCAAGCACATCAATGAATGGGTTTTCGAAAACTCTCTTTTTTTTTTCAAAAAGCACACATATGTGATTATAATCATAGAAGCATAGTCATGCAATGGCATATATTCGACACTAGAAAGAAATAAACTACCCAAAAACTGAAATAAAACTAATATATACATGGTGAAAAGCAAATCCTCCCCCAAGCTAAACCATACATTGTCCTCAATGTATGCATATAACAGTGTAAAAGAACAAGGGGAAGGGGAAACAACCTACTGATCAGGAGGGGTGGGGGAAAACCATACCTCGGGTCGGTGCTAGGTTGGAAGCACGGATGTGCCTTATTTCGTGGACTCCATCTTCGTAGAATTTGCTCTTTTCACCTATTTAGATAGGGAAAATAATAAAAATTAGAACACTGATAACCACATCGAGAATCAAAAATAAAAATAAAAAAAAAAGAATAAAAGAAAAGAAAAGGATCGAGAATGGGTTGCCTCCCATTTAGCGCTTGTTTATAAGGTCTTTAGCTTGACCGTAGTGATACTCATTGGCTCAACCGGGATCACCACACGAAGGGGGAACTCCGCAATGTTGCCCATGGGAATGATTGCCTCCAAGTGACTCCTTCATTTTATTGTTTACCTGCCTTATATCCGAACTCACCTTCATGTGGCCAAGCACATCATCGGGTGGAATTTTGTTCTTGCTTCTCACGAAATTTCTATCAAATACATACTTATCAACCAAGGGGTTAGTAGCATCGATTCTTAAGCAAGTACCACCATCAAATATAGAATTATGTTCATCAAAGAGCTTGAACATGACTTGTTTATCCTAGGCCCTAATGGTCACTTGTCCTTTAGGAACATCTATTAAAGCTTGACTTGTGGCAAGGAATGGACGACCAAGTATGATCGGGATCTTCCGATCTTCCTTCTTATCCAAGACAACAAAATCAACAGGAATAACAAGTCCACCCACTGTGACTAATACATCTTCAACCACACCCTTAGGGAGTCTAGAGGTCCTATCAGCCAATTGAATAGAAATAGGGGAAGGTCTAAGTCCTTGCAAGCCTAAACTCTCATATAATGAATAAGACATTAAGTTAACACTAGCACCTAAATCGCACAAAACCCTATCGAAAAATTTCTCGTTTATCGTGCAGGGAATAGTGAAACTACCCGGATCATGCAGCTTAGGTGGTAGGTTATCATATAAGAGAGTATGGCCTTTCTTATTTACTACTTCCTTATCCTTTCGTTGATCTTTAATATTCTTTACAAAATTTGCAAATTGAGGCATTTGAACTAAAAGATCAGAAAAGGGAGTAGAACCGTGTACCTTCTTGAGGGCTTCACAATATTTGCCAAAATGTCTATCGAGCACGGCTTTTGACAACCGTTGTGGGGAAGGCATTGGTTCCTCATAAGCCGGTGGAGCCACATATTTGGAGCTTTATTTGAACATCCTTGCCCTTTTCGTCTTTTCTAGACTCCTCACTGCACACCTTCTCAACAATTTGCCTCGGAAAGGCTTCATCTCTTCTCAAGAAAACAGCATTGCGTTGTTCTTTTTGAACCTTTGCTTGATCTTGAAGAGTTGATAGGCGACTCACCTGTTGTAAAAGTTGGCTTATTTGGCTTTCCATGAGCTTACTATGGGCTTGCAAATGTTGGATGGAGTTACCTTGTTGTTGGATAGCACTATTGGTTGTGGTAATAAAGCTCTCTATCATCACTTCAAGGCTAGATTTTTGGGGTTGTGGTTGCATTGGTTGTTGGTTCATGGATGGTCTTTGTTGGAGACCGGGTAGTGGTTGGTTGTAGTTGTTGGGTTGGGGTGGTGGTGGTGGTGATGGATTCTGCTGTGCTTGGGTGTTCTTGTATGATAAGTTTGGATGGTGTTTCCAACCTTCATTATAGGAATTTGAGTAGGGATCATAAGGATTTTTGGGATTTGAGGAGTAGAAAGCATTGGCTTGTTCGATGGACATCTCACTCGGGTTCTGCGGGCAATTTGGTGCGATATGGCCCTGCACATTACACATTTGACAAACTTCCTGGGGCTAGTAGAAGTTCCAGCTTGGAACTTATCAAACCTGCTTGTTAGTGCCTGCACAAAACTGGCTAACATAGTCAAAGCATCTACATCAAGCTTACCTCCTTTTTTCACATTCTGACGACCTCCTGGATGATAATTAACATTGGCTGCCATCTTCTCAATCAGGTCCTTTGCCTCAGTTGGATTCTTTGTCAAGAGAGAACCCCCTGATGCAGCATCAATGTAGATTCGGAACTCATGGGTTAGGCCATTATAGAAGGTTTGAATCAACAGCCACTCTGGGATACCGTGATGAGGGCATTGTCTCTGTAACCTCTTGAACCTTCTCCAAGCCTCATAGAGAGACTCGTCATCTGACTGTCGGAAGGTGGATAGCTCGTTCCTCAACCTGGCAGTCTTCTCATGTCCCAAAAACTTCACTAAGAAGGCCTTCACTAGCTTGTCCCATGTGTCAAATAAGCCAGAACCCTCATCTCTCAGCCATTCCTTCGCCCTATCCCGTAATGAAAAAGGAAAAAGGCGAAGTCTAAGAGCATCGTCTGTAACACCATTCATCTTCATGGTATCACATTTCTCCAAAAAGATATCAATATGACTTACTGGGCAATCATGTGGTAGCCCTGCGAATGAATCATTGGAGATGAACTGGATGAATTGCGGCTTGAGCTCGAAGTGCTGAGCCGTCACAGGTGGTCTTACGATGCTAGAAAGGATTCTGGTAGTCGTATCAGGAATACCGTACTCCAAAAGGGATTTCGTTGGTTGGTCTACCATGTTTCTATTGGTTTAATTTCTCCTTCTTCTTCTACCTGCCCGTCTTCTTGCGATTGCTTCGATTTCAGAATCAAAAGGTGCTAGATCTTCTGAACCTGAGCTTCGTGTGGGCATGCAACAAGAAAACTAGAGAAAGAGTATCAAAAACACAAGAAAAAAAATAGCCGAAGCAACGAAATAAGCCTAGCAAAAACGAATCACAATTAATCTAATGAAACCGTTAGTCCCCGGCAACGGCGCCAAAATTTGGTAGGCGTGTCGCGTACCTATCAAAAATAACCTAACAGACCAATACTAATGTAGATTGGCAAGTAAGCGTCGGATCCCAAGAGACTAAGGTTCAGGAACAATTAATTAGACTCAAATTTCTACTAAGCAAGAATCAATTATAAACGATAACTAAAGGCCTAAAATATAGGAAAAATTCGAAAATAAACTAATTAAGATGATTAAATCAAGCAATTAAAAACATCCAAGATCTAGCTTCACCACAACTATTATTGATGCAATTGTAATTCTACCCTTAACATACGATTTCAAGTGAACGGGGAAAAGTAAACCCTAATAATTACCAAGGATCTCTCTCGAGTATCAATGGCTTCCCTAGCATACAATCAATCCTATTCTCATGGTATCATGCATATTAAAGACATTAAACACATTATTCTCACTTCCCAATTATCAAACCCAACTACTCTCGTGTTGAGAATCAAACCCTAAATTGATTTACTCAAATCCGTTTATACCCAACTCTCGCTGTGATAAAAACAATGGAATAATCGCAATACTATAGTTACGTCTAACCTAGCATTGGCATAATCACAATCAATTTAGCAATTCAATTGTTAAAGTTATTAAAGAATTTAAAGATTTAATTCATGCATCAATAATAATAGGGCTACACTAGATCTTGAATTAAAGAATCTACTCACACATGATTAAAGAAACGAAAACAACAATAAATAATGAAAACATAATTAAATAATAAAGGATGAGAAATAAATACCAAATCTTGAATAAAATTGAAGGTAGAAACCTTGAATCTTGAATTACAAAACATAGAAAAGTAGATGGACAACTAGTTCTTCATGAGAGAATAAAAATAATATAAGGCTTAAAAAAAATATCTCCAAGAAAAACAAGGCTAAAAAGTATTTATATGAGCCTAAAAAGATAAGAAAGACGGCTAAGCCTTGGCGCACAAGAATCCCAGGAGGCACGGATGTGCCTCTTCATAGGCACGGACGTGCCTCTACACGTAGCAAAATTGCTGCAGTTTCTGTCTTCCAGGCACGGACGTGCCTGATGCTGGGCACGGACGTGCCTGCTTCTTTACCTAGGCACGGACGTGCCTCTTCTGCTAGGCACGGACGTGCCTAGGGTCTTCCTTTGGCGCAGCTTCTGGCACAGAGGCACGGACGTGCCTAATAGGGAGGCACGGACGTGCCTAATAGGGAGGCACGGCCGTGCCTACCTCTAAAATGCCATTTTCTTGACTTTTCCTCAATCTCCAAACTCCATGGGCTTTGACTTACTTCATGGATCTATAATTCATCCAAATTAGCTCCATTATTCCTGAAAATCATCAAAAACAACAAAACTACCCATAAAAGCATCGGATTATCCAAACTAAAGCAAAATACGCCAAAACGGACTCAAATACTCAACTAAACTAACAAAACTTACTAAAAACCAACAAAATAATATACACAAAACACGACTTATCAGTGGACCTGTAAGTTCAAGGTGTATGTATGGGATTGAGAGGTATCTTCATGGACTAAAGCAAGATGTTCGAAATAAATCTCGTCCAGAAGGCTCAATGGCAGAAGGATATCTAGCCAAAGAATGTGTTGCCTTTGTAGCTAGATTTTTGAATGGATCAAACTCGGCCAAGTTAATGATTGTAGTACATCACAATCATTTCTTCCTAAGGTAGGACGTCCAGTAAAAGGGAAAGGAAGGGCATCAAAGAAAAAAGACCGTGAACACATACTTGATCACAATCAATGGGTGCAAGCGCATCGTTATGTCTTGTTCAATTGTGACTGTGAGGAAGTTGAGAAATATATAAGGTTAGATTACCAACCAAAACGTAGTTTTTTTTTTCTTTTTCTCTTGGTTTTCAATATGTTTTAATTGTAGTTTTAATAAAGTAATCTTTTTATATTTAATAGTGAGCACAAGGAATTTGTAAGCGCTAGAGGAAAAAGAAAATGGAATAGCGTTCAAGATCACAGCAAGGATTTTATGGATTGGTTTAGGGAGAAAGTTGATTTCATTGTTGAAGAGGGTCAAGACATCATCCCTAACAATATCATATAGTTATCAAAAGGGCCTTCTTACATTGCTTAAAAGTATACAGGGTACTCAGTCAATGGTTATAGGTTCCATACCATGAAGCGTGATGCTAATTGTGTAACTCAAAATAGTGGAGTCACTCTAACGGCCATGACACATAGCTTTGCGAGTTCCAAAGATCAAAATCCTGTTGAGGCTAATGTCAATTATTATGGTTCAATAACAGACATCATTTCAGTATCTTACCATGGCTATTTCTGTGTCGTCTTATTTAAGTGTGTGTGGTTTCACTCTGAAAAAGACGATGATGAGCTTGTAACGATTAATATGTCTAAGACAATTTCTAAAGAAGAACCATTTATCTTGGCATCTCAAGCACATCAAGTGTTTTATGTTGAAGATCTTAATAGAGATGGTTGGCATTATGCTGTTCAAATCCCTCCTAGAGAGCTTTCTGATGGTTTTTTCCCTAACAATTTATATTACATTATATTGCACTGCTTTCCATATTATATTATACTATATTGCATTGTTTTTCATATTATTATCTTTTATGGTTTGTAAACATGTTCTCATTGAATGGCTTTGCAGATGAAGGGGAGTAAAGCAAAAGCTTCTAATTCCCAAAGTCAGCTTCCAGACTATGAGTTACAAAGGCTCAGAAAATTGAAGCATAATGCTGAAAGAATGTCAGCCCAAGGATCGGGATCCTTGGCGAATAAGATACTGCAACAAAAAACACGCGACATACTTTGTTCGAGTGTGAGGCAGACAGATGATGGCTCCTCAGAAGATTTTGATACGGAACAGGAAACTCTTGGTAGTGAAAAAAGACAAGTATGTGAAAAGGTATCTTTAGTAACTTGAATTTTGCCTTGACGACATATACATTCCTGCCTTTGCTCTACCAGACTCTTGGTATAAGTTGTGTAGGAATTATCTTAATTTTATGGTCATTCTCCTCTATAAATTTAGATCCTGAAGTCTGCACTAGTCTCAACTATCAAGAAGTGGTTGTGATGGGTTTGAGACTTACCTGCTTAGATGTAAAGGGTTAATTGAGTCAGCTGGGTTGATTATGTGTGAATTTTACCTTTCTAAAAAATAAAATGCTGCCAATCTGGTTTAGTGATCACTAGCTCACAGACTTAGCTACTAGAAGTATGATGATCAGTCTTGTTGCTTGTTGAGACTGTTTGCTGATCTTAATGTTTTTACTGCTGTTCTCATACATTTTTAAGCTAATGATTGGAATTTATATCTTTCAGCTTCATAATCGCTCTTTTTTTTTCTTTCTTTGGTTTAATGTATTGTGGGTTGATTTGATGATACACAGTGTCTCTTGGGTTTTTTGACGACATATACATTCCTGCCTTTGCTCTGCCAGACCCGTCACATAGTAACTTGTTTCGCTTTTGTTTTATAGGTCTCTTCTCAACAACATCCAGTTCCTACACGGGAAATTCAAAGGAAGCAGCAAGAACAACAATTGGGGTCAACAAAGGCATTTGTGAAGAAAAGAGCGTTCTGTTCTCCTGGCTCAATGTCAGCCTACCTCGAGTTTCGGAAACGACAAAAGGATGAAGCGCTAATGATGAGCAGTGAGGTGCGTGAAAAAGGGCAAAATTATGATGATGAGCAGCTGAATGAGGCCGATTGTGCTCTTCAGTTCGATTATGAGGGCAATGAAGCAGCGGAACGAGCATTTATGGCACAGTTTGGAACGGAAGGTATATTCTGATCATTAATTATGATTGCCTTAGGTTGACCTGTCAAATTGTTATAATTTTAGTAAAATATAATTATAGATATAATTAATAGTATAAATATGCTTTGACAGACATAAATAGATTGAAAACTCCAATAAAGAAGTAGATACATTCTTCCTAGACATTTATAAAAGAAAAACACATGTACATGCAATGGAGCTTATATTTTGCCTCTGATTCCTAAAACTTAAAATTTGTAGTTTGTTCAATAACCGTATCTATTTCATATTAGACCTAATGGCTGAAAATATATAATATGTAATATTTCAATTTAAAGTCTGAACACAGGAAAGAAAAGCATAACTTAATAAGATATTGTCTCTGAATACTTCCTTAGGTTCTCCCTGCTCCACTGCCACAGTGAAAAAATAACATGAAGTGTTTAGCACCTATCTTATTCCATTTGCACTCATTCAACTAATATCTCTAATTCATCATGAATTGCAGCAGTACCCTCAACTGATACACAGATTCTTCTAAGTGATAAACATAAATCATTTCGACAATTTGACTTTTTCTAGAAGTACCACAGACAATTAGCCATATGCAGCCATTACAGAAATATGTACAAAATACTAATAAAGTACACACATTTAAAATTACCTAGCAATAACCTTCTCTTTTGCATTCTCAGTTGAAGAATCTTTCTTATCTGATTCTGCCATCTTTGTTAAAGCACTGGTTGAGATATATATAAACTTGTTAAGCTAGATAAACTTACGAATGCAGTGTTTATTACCACAGAAACATCAAGTGAATTGTCCTCGAAAAGGAAAAAACATCGAGGTCGAACAATGCTCCACAGAGTTCACGCACGTTCAAGAGAGGAGCGTCCTGTGATTGTTCTGAACTCATTAGGTCAGCCAGTTGGACCTACTAAGGAGATTGTGCAAGAGTTCAAGTTTTTTCTGGGAACGGTGGCAAGGGATTCCGAACTTGCACCGCTTAACTACAGAAATTTTCCTAGCCTACCGACACTTGATAAGATATTGGATTATGTCCAGGTAGTATACAATGATATTGTTGCATTTCACGTACACCTCCACACGTTACTAATGTTTTAGCTTGAACAGGAGAAGTATATGGTCCCCCATGCCGGGTTAAATTGGGTGATGGATGCTGTAAATAGTTGTTGGAAATATTATAAATGCCAAATCAAGAAGAAACACTTCTATGCATATGATACAGATGATTCAAGGTGGGAACATAAACCAGATACAATCTCCGATCAGATGTTCCTAGATCTTCTACAATATTGGCATACCGATGAGGCGAAGGTACTGTATATTGATTCTAATCTAATTCTCTCGAATAATTTTATCTAATATGTGTTTAATTTTGAATTAAATGGTGGTTTCCGATTTTCCCTAGGCAATTAGCCAAAGCAACAAAAGCAATCGTCTAATGTTAGATGATATGCACACTTTGGGACGCAAATCATATGCTATTTTACGCCATGAGTTGGTAAGTACATTTTTTAAAATCTAAATTATAGGCATGTTGCATATACTTTTATTCTAATTTCATATATTATGATTTACATATATATAGCAACAACAAGATCCCGACAAGAAAGAACCTTCTCAAGCAAAGGTTTACAAGGAATTAAGAAAAAGAAGTGCTGAAAGGACATACATTAGCAGCTTTGAAAAAGCAAAAGAGAATATTGTGAGTTATTCGATAATTAGTAACATTGTACGCCTAAATATTGTTAGTTATTCGATAATTAGTAACATATTACTATGTTTGCCTAAACAGGACAAAATTGATGCTTTGGAGTCAGCACAATCACAAGAAGATGGTAATGTATGCAATGACCCTTACAGTGAAGTGATTCCACCTCCTAAACGCAAAAGTCGTTTGCATCTATATGGCTCGGGTGTGAAGAAGAGTGATTTGAAGAACAAAGATACAAAGTCAAATTACATACTCCCGGAGGAATTCTTGGTAGGCATAAAAACACAATTAGTCCAAGAAATTGCACCTACCATCACCGCTGCAGTTTTGGATTTGATTCGTGAGGTGAACCCCAGGATTAATCTTGTGGTTCCTAGTACTCTGCAGCAATTGACTCCGCATGATGCATCTAGTGCACCCAATCGAAATACTGCCCAAAGTGGACAATCTTCAAAATCATTTAATCAGGTATAATCTGCACTTCTCTGCTCTAAACTTTAATTTCTAAACTTCCCCTGACTGCTTGATTGACTGACTGACTGACTGCTTACCTACCTGACTGACTGACTGCCTGACTGCCTCCTGCCTGACTAACTAATTGATTGACTGACTGCTCCCTCGACACATAAACACAAGACTCCTAATCTCCTATATTTATTTTGTATGTTAGAATAGGAGTTAGAAATTAGAGAATTGGAGAGAGACAAGATTTTTCATCTGAATACTTGGGATTGTTCGGAGAAAATTGCTGCCAGAATTAGAAGGAAAAAAATGCATTCGAAATTGGAACATGCCTTACCCACAAAGAGCTTAAAATGTGGTCAAATTTATATTGGATGCGTAAAAGCAAATTAGTTTATTACATATGACAGGGGACTGAGAGACTACCGATCACCAGGTATTTCATGTTAATTTTACAGAGGATTTATAAAAAAATGCATGTAGAAAGAGGGAATTCTACATAGCATATAGCAGCTGGTCTCTAGAATGATCTTAATGAATGCCCCCAATTCAAAGAGTTACCTTACTTCAACAAAACTAAATATGGGAGAAATCTGAAATCTTGCAGAAATCATAAACCTGTAATTTATCATATTGGAGCTGGAAGATATCGAACAGAATGGTCAATGTATGTGTTCATATAATGAGCCGAGGCCCTTGTAAAAATACTATACTGCATACAAGTATTGCTTAAATCTTTACAGCATTCTACATTAATGTGTTCCTGGTATTTAACAACTTCGAGCTGTTTAAACATAGCATTAGCTCAAACTGTTGATATAGCCTTCTGATGTCTTTTGTTTGTTTGATTATTTCACTTACCATTGGATGTGGAAAACTATTAAAATTATGATATCTTGCCAAGGATGTCTGATTTTTGTTCTCTTATTGTATATTTTGTACTTTGATGACTGATTTGTGTGTTGTTGTGTGTTATTTAATTTCCTCAATTGGTGTTGTTATTGTTGTTGGTATTGTGGCTTATGCATTACTTTTTTTACTTAGGTGGTTGATGACGATGAGCTACCCCGGGATGAATGAAGTAAGGACTAATGTTGATTTTATGTATCTATTGCAACTTCTAGAGAGCTTTCAAATTAAATGTTTGTTAATTAATTAGCTAGTGAACTGTCATTTATAATTAGTTAGTATTGACACTTCGTGTACTTTTGTAATGCAACGAATATATATTATATGTATTTCGTTTATTTTGTAATGCAACGAAGATATATTATATGTACTTTGTTTATTTAAATTATAAATATACTAATATAATTTATATTTATTATTATAGATTTAAAAAAAAAATTACCTAATACAACGGTTTTAAAAAAACAAAAAGAAAATAAAGGGGTCTAATACAACGGTTTTTTTTTTTGAAAAAAAAAGGGGGGCTAATACAACAGATGTAAAAAAAAATAAAAAAAAAATAAAGGACCTAATCCAACGGATTGGGCGAAAAATCCGTTAGATTAGGTAGATACCTAATACAACGGATTCATCAATCCGTTGGATTAGGTCCAATTATTCCCAAAAAAACAAAAGGGAACCTAATCCAACGGATTGGGCGAAAAATCCGTTAGATTAGGTAGATACCTAATACAACGGATTCATCAATTCGTTGGATTAGGTCCAATTATTCCCAAAAAAACAAAAGGGAACCTAATCCAACGGATTGAAGAAACCGTTGGATTAGGTATCTACCTAATCCAACGGATTGCTCAATCCGTTGGATTAGGTCTATTTTGCCGTTGTATTAGACCTAATCCAACCCTTGCAAATGTGACGGTTGGTAACCGTTGTATTAGGTCTAATACAACGGTTTTTAACACCTAATACAACAAAAAAAAGTCGTTGTATTAGCTCTTAAATGTAGTAGTGACCTAAAATGACCCACCTCGCACAAACCAGCCCACCTTGCACGCCTAACCCGCACGACCCACGACTCAGCCCAACCGCACGCACGACCCACCTAACCCGCATGGCCCACCCAACCCGCCTAGCCTAACAACCATATTCCAAATATTTTTTCAAAAGTAACGACTACTTTTTTTTATATGAATTTGATGAACAAAGTTAACAGCTACTTTTATTTTTTAGTAACAACTAGTTTTACTGGCTAGTTTTTGTATTGTATGATCATCCCCTCAATTTTTCCTATAAATACCAATTCCATTTCACTCAAATTTCCACACTACTCAAGCTTTCTTTCTCTCTTACTCAAAAATTCTTAATTGTTCTCAAATTCTCAAGTGTTATTTAGTGTTATATAGAGTTTTATTTTTGTTAAAAAAATCTCCTTAATATTATTATTAGTATTCTTAAGATTCTTAAAAAAAAAAAAAAATGGGCTCAAGAGGAGGAACAGAAAGGAGTCAAAGTGGTGGTGAAAAATTTTCGTATGAAATTAATACGGAAAATTTAAACCAATTTGTCAATGAATATGGAGATTATGGTTTAGGAGATTGGCAAAATATTCAAACGTCTCCACCGTACCACAACATTTCTCCCACCAATCATCGAGTTCAACTATGCCACCTCCATCGCAATAACCAACATCTCAACCTTCATCTCAAGGTAATTTCTAATTTAATTTATTGTTATGAATATTTAAAAAAAATATTATTAATGATTATAAAGTTAGTTTAGTTTCCAATTTTCTATGATTTATAATTACCATGAAAAATGCGTTTAAATAATTATAATTAAAATATTTAAAATTTAAAAGCTTATTTTCATGAATAACGTTTAAAAATTAATTTCAATAATTTGATTTATGAAAGGTGGTGGCGGTGAAAGTAGAGGTCGAGCACAATTTTCTTGGGTGTGGAAACATTTTAAACGAGTTGACGTCACACCCCCGGGGCGGCAACTCGGTCAACCAAAGAGGTTCACGTGTACATGCCTAGTTTGTAAGGCGCTAGGTGCAAATGTCAAGTCATATAGTTGAAAAACGGGAGATGGAATCAGAACCTTGAGTCGGCATTTGCAAAATAAACATGACTTGTTCGAAAATGGCCCCCGTCCTTCGGATGGTGGGTTGCCCGTCCAAACACAATTGGGTGGATACATGAACCATTTACCCGGCGGAGGTACACCTTTTATTTATAATAAAGATAGAATGATTGATGAAATGAGTACTTTAGTTATTACTAATGAATACCCTTTTAGTTACGGTGAAAATGCAAACGTTGAACATTTTAATAAAGTTGCATTACAACCTGCATTACTCGTGTCCCCCGAAATACCCTAAAACGTTATACACAAACTTCTTATCATAAGTATAGGAGTGGTGTGATTGAATTATTTCGTACTTTTGATGGTCGTGTTAGTTTTACAAGTGATACATGGACTTCTAGTTTGGCGAATCTTTTCTTTGCATTACTGCTCATTGGGTGGATGATAATTGGTTTATTCAAAAACGTATACTATGTTTTCAAGCTATGGAAGAAAGGCACACCGGTTTTAACATCAAAGTTCATATTTTGGATTGTTTAAAAGAATTTCACTTGAATAATAAAGTTTTTTCTTCGTCACTTGATAATGCAACTGCAAACATAAAGTGTATTGACTATTTGAAAAATGACTCCGAGTTGCATTTGTTGTTGGGTGGTAGTCTCTTGCATGTTAGATGTTGTGCTCATATTTTGAATTTGTCTGTTCAAGAGGGTCTCACTGAGTTGCAACCATTGCTAAACCCAATTAGAATTGTTATAAAATAGATTAGGATTACTCAGTCAGTTAGAAGAAAGTACATAGCTATGTGTAAAGAGAGAGGTCTTAAGAAAAGACAATAGTCTATTGATACCCCTACCTGTTGGAATTCTACTTTCAATTTGTTGAATGATACTATAAAGTAGCCTGACATTTTGACCCAACTTTACAATGAGACTCGTGTTGATCCTACTGAGTTAATAACCGAAAGTCATTGGACTAATGCTTCTTTTGTTCGTGATGTTTTAAATGCTTTTGATAATGCAACTCATATTTTCTCTTATATTTATGAGCTTAACATTCACTTAGTCATAATTGAGTGTGTTAAAGTTGTTCACACCATCGAAGAACATATGAAGATTGATGGACTTCGTCCTGTTCTTGATAACATGAAACGTAAGTGGCATACTTATTTTAGTGAATTTCCAATTATTTATGGAATTGTTGCTATTCTTGACCCCGGTGTTAAAGCTGAAGGTTTGGAAAATCTTTTAAAATTTTATTATACAAGTTTAAGTATCGATAATGATGTTAGTGAATATATTGACAAATGAAAATCTATTTTGGGAGACCTTTATGATCATTATGCATTTATTTATGGTTTTGATTTAGCAACACCAACTACTACTAGCACTTCCGATTCTAGATTTGGTTTTCTTGATAAAGTTATGAAAAAAAAACACAAAGCATCTACATCATTCTCATCATCATCTTCTTCAACACTTGCTATTAATGATTATTTGTCATATCAACATGAGACCAAAAACAACTTTCAAATTATAAAATGGTGGCAAGAACATCAAAACAGTTTTCCTATATTGGTGAGAATTGCAAAAGATATATTTGTAGTTCTCGCGTCATCCGTTGCATCCGAGTCTGCTTTTAGTGCAGGTAGAAGAGTGTTAGATGAAAAAAGATCTCGCTTAACTCCGGAAAGCATTCAAATTTGTGTTTGTAAGAAAGATTGGGATCAAGCTGAAAGAAGAACTCAAGGTTTAAAGGATGATGAAGACGATGAGATGATCCTGTGATGATATTGGAGTCGTCAACGGATGATGCAGCTTCCGAGGATGATGATGCAACAAACATGGGTGGCTAGAAAAGTTTAAATCAGGTACGCTAAGAACTACGTGGGCTTTGATTCTTTCGGGATACGTAGGCAACTTATTTTTTGAAAATTACAATTTAATTACAAAATTAAATTTTAGTTTTCTAAAGATAGGTCCAAGCCCCCTCTCCCCCCAAATTCCAAAAGAAGTACAATATAATAACTACGTTGGCTTTGATTCCTTATTTTATGATATAAGGATACGTAGGCATCTTAATTAAGAGCAACTGAGCAAGCCATCAAATTGTTAATTTTGTAAAAATTAAAACACCACACAACCCATTTAGCCATTTGGCCCACTAGACCCTAACCCACGAACCCACCCGACTCTAACATACGAGCCTAGCTCAACCCAAACCCACCTAACCCACTAACCCACCCTTCGAACCACCCTAACCCGCCCTTCGACCCACCCTAACCCACTAGACCCACGAACCCAACTCGACCCACCCACGACCCGTCTAACCCATGAACCTAGCTTGACCCACCCACGACCCATCTAACCCACGAACCTAACCCTGGTGTGTCCAACTTCTCCGACCCAACTCACGACCCGGCCCACCCTACCTTACATGTGTCGTGTCGTGTGTCATGAAACCCCAACCCGCGACCCACCTAACCCTAACCCTAACCCTAACCCAGCTCGCACGACTTGCATGGTGGACACCTCTAATTGATAGTATTTTAAGAACTTTTTTTTAATTTAATTTCTTGACCTTAACCAGTTTTATGTCAACTTAAACTAATTAATTCTCCGTCCGATTAAAATTTACTACTCATATCATAAATATAAGACGTCAGAAACATATTTACTAGCGGTTTATTTGGAAATAACCATTTAAAAACCTTTTTTCAAAAGAAACTAATTACCCTAAGAACCCAGAAAATTTGAGTAACATTATCTGCTAACGGTTTCCCGTCCAACAATTTCGTTTATGTGCTCACTTTAGACCCACTTATTCACTCATTATAATAAGGTTTTTTTTTTTTTTTTTTTTTTTTCCTTTCAGAAACTACCTAATAAAATCCAGATTTTAGATGTAATGAGTATCTACCTAATAAAAAAAATGTTGTATGTAATAAATTAAACTACATAATAAAAGGTTAACTGTTGTAAAATACTACCTCTTAATGGATTTTGGATATCGCAAAACTGCTTATTTATTGTAGTATCCACCGACCTAATATTCCGACATTGACCCACCTAAAAACACTCTTAAAACCCACCGCTTTCATCCCTAAAAGAGCCAAAACCAACCAACTCGCTTAAAACTGCCTCTACAATGCCAAAACCACCCTCCAACCCCAAACCACACACCACCTCTTACCCCATAAACCACCATTTTAAAGCACGAAACTATCCTCATCAACTCAAAATATCCCCCAACCACCCT